GGGACTCGATCCCGGGACCCCAGGATCATGACCTGAGCCGAAGGCAGTCGCTCAACCAACTGAGCCACCCAGGCGCCCAAGCCAAGATATTCTTTAAAAACATTACTTATTTTACTGGCTGAAAGCTACAAGTGAGACAAATTTGCTTCATGTTCTGGTTGCATTTGTTGAATGAATGTTCTAATTTGCAACTCAAGCATGGATCGACTGCTTATCTCCATCACAAATCCAAACACTATGTTCATGGATTATTAAGATTCACTTACGGGCTCAAAGTGATCCAAATCCTGCCAGTGTCACCCCCAAAGGGTATTCCATACTTGCATTGGCTCTCTGAGGTAGTTACAGATGTACAGAAGTTCCAATATCTGCCGGGGACAAAGCTGCTTATCCTGAGAAGTACTTGTAACTGACATTTGAAATGGTCCTTTCCATGTGTATTACATCATGATAGGAAGCTGTTTATTTGCTTATTGCCACCTGGTTTTAGTCAAAATACACCTTCCTTTCTGCATCCTTTCCAACTGAAAAAATGACAGTCTTGTGGCCCTAAAAGATCACTCTCGTGAAAATGGGGCCACATTCAATTAGTCATCAACACTGTAAACTCTGCTTAAAATGAAACCAGTGAAAAGTATCCAGGACTATCCACAAGTAGGTAAACAGCAATTCTAGGAGACACTTGTTCATATCTGATACTCATATCTCCAGATTTTCTGGTGCTTTAAAATAAGTGCAGTTCAACATTTATTGGCCATGTACTATGCATTAGGCATTGAACTTGGTGTGGGAATTAAAAAGCTGATGAAACCATAGTTGCTGCTGACAAGCTTATACCCTAGTCAGGGAGAGAGGCATGGGAACCTGCTGTTTCAATATAATGTGGTAAGTGCTATCAAAACAGGCTGGAGAGTGTGCTAAGGGAGAATGCAGAAGGAGGACTTGGCTCAGCCTCCTGGAAGGGAGAAAGGAAATTAGTAAAGACTTCTTAGAAGTTCTTTTTAAAAATAAAAAGCCATATTCCAATTAAAACATAATGCAACTAGCCTAGGTAGTTAAACAACTTAATAAACCCGCCTAGGTAATAAACAACTTAATCAGTACACTAACCCACCATCAGAAGTCACACTGAACACTTCCCTATGCTTCAGGATGGATTTGTCCTGACTCAGTCCTACATTTTTATTAATCATTCTTGAAATCATGAGCATGCCATTTGAGTAAAGGGATATAATTCTTTAAAGCAGTAAGCAGATGACTTCCATAAGAGCAGGAAACAGTGAAGACTCTCTAAGTGGAAATTTCTCCCATGTAGTGAGGGAAATTGTACTTATGTTTCCCTTTTCCCATTGAATGTCCGGGACGGTATTCATGGGTAGAACAGGCAAAGGGTAACAATGAAAGAGAGACTGCTTCCTCCCCAACCTCCACTATAGCACATGCCTGAAAATCTGCCATTTGGGGATTAATTTTATTTGGGGATAATCACCACTGTGAAGATCTATGGGACCAAAATATATTTACACCTAGTACAAATTTCAGGATAGCGTTATCACCAAAGGGAGCAGTTAAAGATACTCCAAACGTAGAGAAATCCCTGAATAATATGCCAGTTTTGATTCAAAGTTTAGTAACTCAATGCATTTACTTCATTCCTTAATCTCAGTCAAAGGTGAAGTCTTTGAAGAAATAACTGTGGAATGGTTAAATATCATGCCCCCTTTATTTTAGACTGTGTTATCATCAATGCCTGAACTATGGGAATCAATATTCTTTACAGTAAATCATTAACCACTCTCTTAGAGGTAAAATGCCCTATAACTTCCTCCTATGTGTGATTTTTTCTAAAATAAATTAAACCCAGGATTATCATCTGAGGAATTATTTTCACACACCACTGTCCAAGTTACACACTAACAATTTTAATCTCAACAATTTAAATCCCCCATCATCTCACTGAGTAATGATAAGGCCACAGAATGATACTACCTAATCGAAAGAGGTACCTTTATTATTTTGAATACCATTAGAGATTTATTATCTCCAAATCAATAAAAATACTTTAGGTTAGAAAGAGAAACGCTTTTAAAGGGGGACTCCAAAATGATGCTGATGAAGGTAGAGCCCATGATGCATTACTCATCCATACCATTTAGTGGTACTGAATTAAGATACAATATAATATATCAGTTAATAATAGTAATTGGCCTAGTACCTCTAGGCCCTTGTTATAATTACTATTGACCTAGTTACAACCTACTAAAACAGGTATTATTGCTTTATCAGCAAATAACTGAATTTAGATGAAGTTGTAAAAACAGGAGCAGAAAATAATTTCTCCCATACCAATCTCTGCTCTTTGTTTTTAACATAACATATATTCAACATCTGCTACTTGAATCTTAGCTTTCCATCTCAGAATAGAAAAAAATCTTTATACAACTTTGGATAAAAAGTGATGATTCTAGTTTAAAAGGTTCATGAGTATTTTTAATCAGTGTTTTCATGACTACTTGTGCAGTTTTTTATGAAATAAACCTCCCACACTTTCACCATAGAACTGGGAACGATGAGAAACGGCTATGAATGTAGAGACAAGGCAATCAATAAAGCCAAAGTTCAGGGGGTTGGAGGAAAAACTCAACAATATTACATACCTAAATACATCTCAATATCATATTTGCATTTACGGGTAGGCAAATCAGGTAGAACATTTCTTTTAATTAGGAGCAGCAGTGAGCATCAGACTTAAATACAGAAAAACCACATTCCGACGAAAGCATATTATTAGGTGTGTGAACTTAGGCAGATTCCTTGCCCTCTTTGAGCCTTGGTCTTTCCATATGGAAAAGTGAGGCATATCAGAGGGCTACACTGAGTATTGGATAAACCACATACGTGAAAGTCCAGTTCGCCCACAATCGACATTTCTAGTGAATTCTGGAGGTTATGCTTATAGGCTACTATAGCCCCCAGTGGGTTCTCACAGATCTTTAAGCGCTCTAAATTTTTTCCTTTCCATACAGATGTTTCGTTTGGACCACTTCTCTAATTTACTAGGACAACAATGGGCTCAATCCTTACCCTTACGGAAAATCCTTCCCTTTTTATCTTGATGCCTGCTAACTGGTGCTTAGGCATGGGATCACTAGTGAGTCCTGCAGTCCACTAGCAAGAATTATGGAATGACATGCATAGACTTGGGGTCACACTGTCTTGTCATCACAGGAACCTTCCCAGTGACAAATCAGAAACCCCCTTGAAGCTCAGCAAAATTCACGCAGGAGCTGTATAAACCCAATGCGCGCTTAAATCAGGAATAGCTTTAGCCATCAGAATATATTTATACTCACTCATTTTTAAAAATTACCTCTTTCACACTGGGGTCCAGTAAAGCCGTAAGTGCAGGCACATCGATTCGGGGCCACACACCTGCCTCCGTTGAGGCATCCACTCTCACAGACAGCTGGAAGGGAAGGAGGGAGAAGCTGAGAGCCTTCACCGGAAATTAGATGCGAACGGAGTAACACTTACCGTCCCCTGAGGCACAACAATAAAAAATCTAAACAATCACTCTGGTATTCGTTTTCAACAGTTACGTTCCAGTTCCAGCTCTGCATATGTTCCTCAATCAACTCAGGTTAAACTGCCTGGAACAAGTGAGTTTACCCCCATGTTGATGCTGACAGTTTCATTCTGGGGAGTATCCGAGCAATGTTTTCAGTTCTGTATCTAAAATGGTGGTTTATAAGAGATGTCACTGGATGAGAACTGCATTTTAGCGAGCTGACTCGTTTGCTTATGATTTGAGGGCTCCCACGAGGGAAAACATTGGCCTCTGTCACTGGTACAGAAATACGGCATGTTAAATCACACAATTAACTACAAACAATAAAACATTAATTCTAACCATATTTATGGGCCGGAAGGAAGACCCAAGCGACTGTTGTAACAGAATCTATTGGTGAGATAAGTCCAGTGATGCTTGAGGGAGGGACATTCTACTTGCCAGAAAAGGCATTAAAATAAGAACTGAGAGCTCATGCCCTGAACAACTCTTCTCTGTACAATTTCCTGCAATTCTTTCATGCATGGCCTTTCTAGGCATCTTTATCCACAAGTGGTGGGCTCTTCTGAGCCAAATTTGCCAGTACCACTCCCTCTTGAAAGCCCAGCTCCTATCTCATTCCCTAATACCTCCTCCTTTTGAGTTAATTCCTCCTTCCTATATCTCCTGCACACTTTATCTGTATCCTTGTGGCAGTCATGGAGTTGAGCCACTCAGATCTGCCTCCAAAAAAACCTACTGTAAGGAGCTTAGCTGGCCGACAGCCCCCAGCCACCACACCTTCAGATCTGCTTCATGTTCACGCCAAGGACACAGATCTCCTGGCTGCTACCACCCAATGACTAAGCTTAGTGAGGTACCAGAGACAGGGCACTTCTGCCCATCATGGAACTCTCCCAACGGGAAATCTTTGCTCTGGGCTCGCCATCAGCCTGGCCAAGGCTTTCTTAGAGCTGCATTCCAGTCTGAGGCACCTTCTACACAATCTACCCAATCCCCTTCTCCTTGCACAGGGGCTAAGACCAGCATCGTGGTTTGAAGGCCCTCCCCTCCTACTCCTGCTTTCTCACCCCTTTCTTCTTTACAGGCCTTTCCCACAATAAATCTCTTGTATATCCAATTCTGTCTTGGCATCTGGTTGGGATCAGAGGACTTGAACTGACACAACCCCTTACAGCCAAAACCATGGCAAGAGCCCATTTCTCATCATAAAATTAGAGAGGTTTACATACATTAATTGTTCTGATTTGCCTCTTAATTTACAGTCGGGGAGAAGGAAAAGATTTTAGGTAGAAAAGAAATTTTGAGATGGCCTAAGCCAACCATCCTATTGTATAGATGAGGAAAGTGAGGTCTAGGAAAGTTTTTCTAACTCTGAAAGTGTTAACCAAATGCCTGTTGTGTGGTAGATTCATGGCTGAACTCCCTCAAGGAGCACCAAAGGGAGCAGAAGATGCCCAGCAGCTCCTCATGATTCCCTTTCCAAAAATGCCTTTGACGCCACCCCCCTCCCACCAGCTCAGTAGCCACAGCCTTGGTACTAGTTTTCCTGCTTCCTGTTTCTTCCCACTGCACTTATACCCCCACACTGTGGCCACCACCATCTTCCTCATTGTAAACCACTGTAAGCGAAGCGTCTGAGGCCAGCATTTCATGGCATTAAATGCACGGGCCATGCAGTCAGACTGCTTGGGTTCAAATCCTAACTCTGCCAATCCCCCCCATATAACTGCAGACAAGTTACTGATGTCCCTGTGCCCCATTCTCCTCATCTGCTGGAGGTAAAAGACGTCTCTAACTCAGGAGGCTACAGTTTTATTCAATGAGTTAATGCATGTGAAGAGTTGGAAAATGTGCCCAGCACATGGTAAATGTAGAGTAAATAGTTCAGCCAAGGAATGGTTGTTGTTGGTTGGTTGTTGTTGTCTCACTCCTCTTCCCTGGCTCTACTGTGGATGCAAACACGGTATGCGTAAAGGCACTCAAAACCTGGGTCCCCAACTTTCATTTTGACCTTATCTGCCTTCCCATCACCTTCCTCAGCAACATGTGCTACGTCTGACATCTCATCCTCTGCCGTGACCTTGTGCTTTGGCCCATGCTCTGCCAGTGGCATGAGAAGCCCATCCCCTGTCATCTGACAAGTGAACCCCACCCCATCCTTCAAGACCCAGCTCAAGGGTCTCCCACACTGGGGAAGCTGTCCTGTGTCTCCTCTCCCCACACTGCTGTTGTGGGCTACCCAAAACTCAGTCGTTATTCTTACCACATGTGCAGTGCGTGGACAGTCACGGGGGCATTATATAAATTTTGGGCATTATATAAATTTTGGTTCATTTATAGTAACAATATTCATTGTAGCAAATATATATACAATGGCAAAGACTGGAAACAATATGAATAAATGCTCATCATTAAAGATTCATTAAATAAGCAATAAAGCAGCTATTTAATGGAGTATTCTGCAACCATTAAAACGTATTTTAAAATGTTTAATAACGTGGAACATACTTCTAATAAAATATTAAGTAAAAAAGGAGTATGAAAAGCCATGTATACAGTAAGATTTTATGTGCCAAATATGCATTAAAAGACTAGAAGGTAATATCTGGAATGATAGGATTATGGAGAATTTTATTATTTTCTCTTTTTGAAATTTTCCAAATTTCTGCAGGGTGTATATATTCCTCTTAGTGTAATAAAAAGTGAGCTTTCTTGAAGGAATTTTCATCTTCTGCAGGGGCTGACTGAGAGTAGACACAAAATAAACAGTGTTCATGAATGAACCAGCAAACCAAACACCATGTGGTATTACAGTAGCAGAATCTAGGTTGGGAAACTGGAGAGATGCAGATATTATTAGTCAAGAAAAAGAACATGTTTGGGGAGAAAGACGAGGTTGAGTTTTGAAATACTTCGAGATGCTTCTTAAAAAGCCAGGTGGACATATTCAGCAATCAAATGGAAGGTATACATCTGGAACAAACAAGAATTCTACACCTTGGGTGCTGATCATACATGAAGGGGATGAGGTAAGCAGGGGTGCCGAAGATAAATGAGAAGAAAATGAGCCCGACCAGCACTCCCAAGGTTCCAATCAGAAATCTGGTGCAAAGTGCATTAGATGGGTGATCTGGTCATCTGTAAGACTCACCAGACATCTATAAAAATGCCACCTCCCAGATAACCAAAGAGAATCCATCAGCACTGAGCTCTATATTCTTTTTGTCTCCATAGCTGTCTACACATTTGCCTACATAGTTTAGCAGGTAGGATACCTATGAGTATGGTTTACTTACGTTGTCCACAGTGAGTGCCTATGTATCCTTTCTGGCACAGACAGTGATCATCACTACAGCTACCTCCATTCATACAGCGAATGTTACAGTGTTGGACTTGAAAAGGAAAAAAAAAAAAAAAAAGAATGATTTACTTTTGCAGTTTAAGTAGGTAGATTGCAACACTTCACAGAATTGATCTGTAGTGATCTGGAGAGAAAATAAAATGGTTTATCAAGATTCACATACTTGTGCAGAAATAACCTAACTGACAACACTAACCGTGTTATTTTTAGTGAGTATAAAATCAATTACAATGCAATTGTTTCTTTGATATTTACTGTAATGGTGCTAAATGACTTCCCTAATTCAGCAGGACTTCCCACTCAATGTCATTTCTGTAATTTATAACAACAAGAAAATAGTGCCTTGAGCAACCTTATGAGACAAGATTACAACGGCAATAATTTTCCTGTTACAAGATTTAGAGTCCCACTGTAGGTGGCCAGGAAAACGGTCTGAGTGAGAAATTCCAAGGAATTTTGTTAAAAGAAATTTTGGAGGCAGCAAAAAGAAGAAAAACTACCTACAAGAGCACTTAATAACAAGGCTGCCTGATAATGGAGGCGGCCGGCCTTGGCTCAGAAAGAGCTGCTTGTTTAAACTGTAACCTTAAACTAAATAAGACCCGCAGTGTTTGAAATCCATTCTTTGTCATACTGTCACCTACGGAAGTGTGACTCTGAGGTTCAGGGCAGAAGGACCACGGGGGGCAGGCAGCCTTGGATGTGAGACAAGACACTAAAAGAAACTGGAGTGATAGATGCGTGTGAGGTGAGAATGAGAGCATGGCGTGTGCTCTCCTTTCTCTAGAGTGAAGGCTGTTTCTAATTCAATAATTTAGGATGCTAAAACACTTTCAGAATCCCAGGCTGTCCCTTTGTCCTCTGGAAACAATAACTACCCTACTAGGAGAAGACTAGAGGCTTGATTGAATTCGTCATTAATCCCTGTTGACACAACCCTACACAAGGAGACCAGGATTGGGCACTGGGAGTGGCCTACTCCAACCTGTGTCCTCCAAGCTTTGAGAGAAAATTCCTACAGAAAAAGGCTCCACAATTTTACATAGGGAGAAGAGAACCCCACCTTCTGTGCAAGAACAGCAATCAGCTGCTCAGCCTTGCTCTTAGGCTCAGTCTTCCTGGAGCATAGGGGCCAAATCTGCTACAAGTAGAGAGAAGATGCCTCGTAGTCCCCACCTTCTTTGGTAGCCCCTGGTTAGGATTCTCAGTGCCGTATCAAGAGTGGCCACGGACTTGAGGAGAAAGGGCCACTTTCATAAGGAGCTACACAAATCTCAGCATGACAGTGGGGAAGAGATGTCAGGACTGAATACTTCCTATGCCCTCATAGAGGACCAAAGAGTTAATTGAGTCAAGCTGAAAGTGATACACTTTCTCAAGAACACGTCACACACTTACTGAAGCACCACCAGAGGCTCCCTATCTCTAGTATGCTAAGAACTTCCTCCCTCTCTCAGCATGGCCACGGGCCTTTCAGGACTCCCTGCATACTTCTGGTAAGTCCTATGGCTCAGTCCCCAATCTACTTCTCATTCATTCATTCACTTAACAAATCTTTCTGACTGCCTACTGTGTGCCATGCAAAATGCCAAACACATTGTTCTAGTCTCTTGGTGGAATCTCCTCTTTAACCTGTCTCTTTGTCCCTTACCCTTAATCCCCAACATAAAATGCACACAGCTGTTACCAAATACCAAAACCCTACCTATCTCTAAGACCCACTGCAAATGTATCTTCTTTTCTTTGATCTTTTCTGATTTCTGTTCTCTCTTCTTTCTCCCACTAGATATGAGCCCTCTTTTCCCTGAGTCCAGAGTATTTTATTCTCTTTTGAAATGTATATTATATAACCTAACCTATTTTTTTTAGTTATTTCTCCTATCCCCAACCCATTTGTCCAAAAGCTTCTTTAGAGTGGAAAGCATCATGGTTATTAATTACACGCCCTAAGTGCCTAGAGTAATACCTTGCCTACTTGTAGGTGTGGTATAAAACTTTACTAAGGTAATTTCCATTTACTTAACTCATACCACCAGATAATGACATCTAAAGCTATCCTCAAAAACTAAGACTGAGAAATTGCTCATTATGCCCTAAGCCATTATACAGCCTTAAGTAGGTTGCTATTAAAAATATTTTATCTTCATTTCCCCATGTATAAAAACAGAAATAAATCCTTTGTTGGAGCATTGTTACAGAAGTCAAGCAACCCAGGAAACTGGTTAAAACAGTTATTTTAGGCTCCTCTGACTCTATTAAAATGTCTCAGCCAAAATGCTTTTGAATTATAAAAACTATCTACAAACATACAAAGGGAATGATTTGGTGAAAATTTGGATAATATTCTAAGTAGGTCAGGAAAAGGTGTATAGTTGCTTTAAAATTTGAAGTTAAACTTAGCTTCATCCTATCTTAGAAAAACAGTGAGGGTTGGGAAAAGCACAGGAAATGATGTCATGTGTCAAGCAGCATAGGAACTCAACCCACAAACTGATTTCAATTAAAGTGGTTCATGCCAAGAGCTAATTTCCATTCCCACATGAGCAACAAAGCCATTTAGCTACTTTGAGATAAAAAGCTAACAGTAGTTCAAATAGTGACTTTACATTATTTGTTCAAATTGAAAAATAGAATGAATTCTTTCAGGAAAAATGATAAGTTCACATTTAAGTGCAATATAATAAAAATCTTTCTGATATGCTTTTATATTTTTTCTACCCTGTCTTTCAGGTAAACCTTTTCCAGATCTAAAATATTTCCAGAAAATATTTTGTCTCCCTTAAAAAATAAGACCCTTGGTCAGACTTCTGAAACAGTATGGCATAGTTAGTCCAGTGGTTCCAATAATCCAATGAACTATGAATCTTGGGCTAGGGGATCACCCTTAACGAGAGATAATTGGATCTTAACCATCTGCTTTGCCACAAACATGTTTGCCAAGGTAACTTCGCATTCTTTGTGAGTCTTAGATGTTCAGGGGAGAAACATATTTCTTTAAAACAATCACTCAGGATTTTTGTGGGGAAATAAAGGAACTAGACATGCAGGTTCACTACAGCAGGAACAATTTAGAGAGTATACATACATAAATTGGTTTTATTTTTTTATCGAGTCCTGCCATTGATGCGTATTCTAAATTTACACTGATTTGAACAAGCATCCCCCAGATGTCCAACAATGACAAGACCAAGTTCTATATCTCTAGAAAAAGCCAAAGCTCCACTTAAATCCATAATGATGTGGTATATTTGTTACATGCTCTAAATACTTCAAGTCAGATTATATTCCTAAACTCAGTCTGTGTTAAGATTTTACCAGAAACTGACAATACCAGGGGAGTTCAAGTGTCAGTGTCTAAGCTGCTACATGCAGATAACTCTGAGAGCCCTAAGACCCAATGAGGACTTCCCCTTGAAAATGAGCAGACAGCCTCAAAGGGTTTCAACATTCTAGAACTAGCAGGAAATGTTGCCATTTACCTGTATCTATATAGACTCCTAAATAAATGTTTTTTTTCCAGATTCAGTCAATCATTCTGGCCGTTCAATAAATACTAACTGAATGCCTTTCCTTTGCCAGGCGCCAGGAAGAGAAGAAGAAACCCCCTTTAGGTGATAGCCCAGTACAAATTAGTTCATAAAATGACCCACAAGAAGAGAACAATTTGAGCATGCTATGGGAATGAAAGAGATGCGGGGCTAAGGTAACCGTTTTCTTTGGGATACATGAGGTTGGGAATGATTCTACAGACCTGCCATTGTCTTGGCAAGCATAAGGGGCAGAAAGAACATTGAGAGCAATTTGCAAATAAGCATCTATATGGCAAGCACGCAATTTTAATTTAGGCTAGGAAAAGCACAGACAGGCAAACTAGAGAGCGAGACTAACTCCTGGACTTTACACCTGAGACAGGTCCACAGGGGCAGCCAGAGTCACTGCAGGACAAAAATAATTTTCATTCAGAAAGATAACAGCAATGACATTTTTCCCTAAGTGCATAAATGTCCTGTGGTGCCTAAAGATGCACAACTCAGAAGAGCAACTTCACTTAAGTACCCAAAACAAAAGCAAAAAACAAAACCCTAGCATAGCTGGAAAAAGTTCAGAGGAAGACAGGTTAAATGATAGCAGTGATAAAGGAAGGCATTTTCACAGAGAACAGATCAGAAAGCAAAGGACTCAACTATTTCTAAAGTCTGAGCACGTTCCACTCCTCTCCTCCCTGTTCATATAAATTCCACACTTCCTGAAAAACCTTTCCAAGGGTCACTTATTCTAGATTAGCGTTAGTACCACCTTCCTATCCTGAGTGTCCTCACACTTTCAGCACGCGGTTGTTCCAAACTTGCTCAAACTTGCTCACACACTGCTCTAGAATTGTTCCCTTGGCCTTCTACTACCTTTAGAGTTTAGATTTGTGTTGGGAATATAAGCACCTCCCAAATCTCACTGAATTGAAGTAAACTAAAAATGACAAAAATTTGTTCAAAGTGTAAGGGATTCCGCATAAGGAAGATGTTAATACTCCCTCCCCAAACTGACTTACAGGCTTACTTACTATAGTTCCTATCAAAATCCTAGAAATATTTTTTTGTAGACGTAGACAAGATTAATCTAAAGTGTATATGGACAGGCAAAGGAACTGGAATAGCTAAAATGATTTTGAAAAAGAAGAGTAAGGTGAAAGCAATTAGTCTACTCAATTTGTAAGACTTTTTATATAGCAGCAGTAATCAAGACTGTATAGTATTGGAGAAGAGATAGACATGTGGATCAACAGAATGAAATGAAGACCTAGAAACAGACCTCTACAAATATGATTTTTGACAAAGGTGCAAAAGTAATTCAATGGGTGAAGGATAGTCTTTTCAAAAACAGATGATGCTGGACATCTATAAGTATTGAAGGAACTTAGACCTCAACCTCATACCCCATAAAAAAAAGTGTCTCAACAATAAATCACAGATGTAAATGTAGAATGTAAAACTATATAACATTTTTTAAAAATTGGAGAAAATCTTCAGGATCTAGGGGTAGGAGCTCTTAGAGTTGATACTAAAAGCATGATCCATTAAAGGAAAAATTGAAAAGGGGGATTTTCATCAAATTTTAAAATATTCGCTCTGTAAAAAACTAAGAACATGAAAGAGCAAGTTCCAGAGTGGGAGAAAATGTTTGCATCTCATATATCTGACAAAGGGCTAGGAGCTGTAATATACAAAGAACTCTCAAAATAGCAAACAATCCAATTAGAATCTGGGCAAAAGACATAAAGAGACATTTCACTGAAGAAGATACACAGGTAGCAAAATAAGCACAGGCAAAGATGTTCAACATCATAAATCAGGCCAAAAAGGCAAATTAAAATCACAATGAGATATAACTACAGACCTATCAGAATAGCTAAAATTAAAAATAGTGAAAACACCAAAACCTGGTAAGGATGCTGAGAAACTAGGTCATTCATTCATTGCTAGTGAGAATATAAAAGGGTATAACCACCCCAAAAACAGCCTGGCATTTTCTTAAAAAACTAAACATGCAACTACCATACCACCCAGCAATTCCATTCCTGGGCATTTATCTCAAAGAAATGAAGACTTATGTTCATATAAAACCCTGTAATGAGGGGGGCCTGGGTGGCTCAGTTGGTCAAGCATCCGACTCTTGGTTTCAGTTTAGGTCATGATCTCAGGGTCATCAGGAGTCTGCTTGAGATTCTCTCCCTCTCCCTCTGCCCCTCCCCTGCTCACACACTCTTTCTCTATAAAATAAATATATGAAATATTTTTAAAAACCCCCAAAACCTGTACATGAATGCTCAGAGCACAACAAAACTGGAGAAAACCTGAATGTCCTTCAACTGGTGAATGGCTAAACAAACTGTGGGACACCCATAGCAAGTAATACTACTCAGCAATAAAACAGAACAAACAGTTGACACATGCAATGACTTGGATGAATCTCCAGAGAATCATGCTGAGTGAAAGAAGTCAATCTCAAAAGGTTCCCTATCATGTGATTCCATTTATAACATTCTTGAAATGACAAAACTGTAGAAATGGAGAAAAGATTAGTGGTTGCCAGGATTAAGGAGAGCATAGGGATAGGAGGAAAATGACTATAAAAGGGCAACATGAGGCATCCTTGCAGTGATAGACCTCTTCCGTATCTTGACTGTATCAATGTCAATATCCTGATGGTGATATTGTGTTATAGTTTCACAGGGTGTTAACATGGGAAAACCGGGTGAAGGGTACCCAGGATCTCTCTGTATTATTTCTCACAACTGAATATGAATCTATAATTATCGCAGAAAAGAAGTTTAGTTTTAAAAATCCTTTTAAAAAGCATAAAGAATAAAACAGCATGAGTATGAAATTGATCTACAAATCCTTAAATATAAAATTCAGGGAACAACTTTTATAATAATACATGTTATTAAAGAAGACAATAATCTGTTTTATATTACATGTATATATATATAAAGAAGAGTTTGAGTAAATTCATCAATCAGTCTACCATGACCTAATTAGAATTAGGATTGCTCAGGGTCCATTGTCAGGCTCAGAGATGGATGGAGTTGAGAACAGTCCAAATAGAATTGAAATTAAAGTCCAGAAAACATGGGGCGCCTGCATGGCTCACTCGGTTAAATATCCCACTCTTGATTTTGGCTCAGGTCATGACCTCAGGGTGGGGCCCGTGTCGGGCACCACGTGGAGTCTGTTTAATATTCTCTCTCTCCCTTTCCCTCTGCCCCTCCTCCCTGCTCTCTCTCTCTCTAAAAAAAAAAAAGAAAAGAAAATGTCCAGAAATCCCATTTTCTGACTCTGGATAGCCAATCTTTTTTGCCCTGGTGCCCCATGAGCAGTGGCAAGAGTTCCAATAGATTAAGAGAAGCCCTGTCTTCCTAGTTCTCAGAGGAATTGCTGGCTGGCAGTATGGACCCTTTTGGAAATGCAATCTCCCCTCAGGCCACGAAGAGATCATTTCTTATTCTCAGAGTCCCAGGACACTCAAAAGTAGAAAACAGCCTGAAAGAACAACCCTCCTTTCATTCTTTTCATTTTCAAATGAGAAAAATAAGACCTCAGAGGCCCCACAACTTTCCCAGGCCTCCTTGATCACTATCACATAGCAAGTATAAGATTTCTCATACAAAATATTGGTGAAATCTAAATTTGTCCCCTTTTGGTAGAACTACAGGTAGTAAATGCAAGTATTTTGCTGTGTTGAGTCATCCTTCTACTAGCAGGAAAGTTAGCAAAGTGATCTCTCCATATTTATTGCCAACCACACCGTGGCCAGGAAGTTCTATAGGATAGTACAGCTATTCCCTAGAACAATACTTCAAAAGGTCAGAAATGAATTCTGATTATCGCAGCTACCCTGAATTTAAAATATTCTGCCACCTTCAATTTTGCAAGATGTTTAGATAATATTAATTCAGATTGAGTCCAAGCCAATGATTTTTTTTTTAAAGATTTTATTTATTTGATAGAGTGAGAGAGCACAAGCAGGGGGAACAGTAGAGGGAGAGGGAGAAGCGGGCTCTTGATGCGGGGCTCGATCCCAGGACCCTGGGATCGTGACCTGAGCCGAAGGCAGACGCTTAACGACTGAGCCACCCAGGCGCCCCCAAGCCAATGATTTTAAAGGCTCCAAGTGCCTCAAAGATCCTGATGAAACCAAATTGTCCTCCTCATACCACTCTTATCCACTAGCTACTCAGGTCCAATGCCCAGGTACCATAGGTGGACCCAAACCTCTTCAGAGAGCATCACCCGTAAGTCTTGGACATCAGTCTCTAACCTAAATCTGGCCCACAGCACCTACCACTATACTTCCATCTCGAGGCTAGCTTGAAATCTACGAGGCCCAACTTGTTAACATCCTATCTTTACGTCTCGTGATTTTTACTTGACAGAGAAATCAGCAGCAGTTCTCACTATCATATTGAAGACCTTCCTAGCTGGATACCTAGTTTTATCATCCAACTATATTTTATCCCTGCCAGAGGACTACTGTTGTTGGTTGGCCCAAAGGCCAATCTGAGCGATGGGGTCTGTTCCCAACTTGGTATCTAGATTCCTTCCCCTTCCCTTAGGTAGTTCTCGGTGGCAGCCTGATGGAGATGGAGATGTCCAACAGGCTCCTGGAAGTGCCACCAGTTGATTTCTCTACCTTTCTGTCTTCCTCCAGCTCAGGTGCCCTTGATTTGTACAATGAACCTAATGTTGCTTAGAAGATACACAACCAAAATGAAGCTGAGATCAAATAAGAATATGCTATTCTCGGTGCAATAAGCAAATGACTCCTGGCCCATGGGGAAGTTTCTATCCCAATCTACAACTGACGGTGTTTAGTAGTAGGCTGTTTGTTTGGGTTGTACCAGAAGCAGATTCTGAGACAATAATTTAAATGCAAGTAGTCTGTTTTAGAAGTGACTTCAGGAAACACTGGTAGGAGAGTGAGGAGGTGAGACAAGGAAGATGATCAAGATGATCAATACATGATCAAGCCTATTACCACTGTGGGCAGCTGGGGCTCAGCCCACTAGGGAATTCCAAGAGACAGTTCAGAACACAGTCCATAGTTCTGCAAACTGAGAGGCAAGGAAGCTGGGGCACTTATCCAACACTCTCTGCCTGTCACTAGTTAATAGTTGTTTCTAGGGCCACCAGCCCTCCAGCACTTCTAGTCTGCCTTACATGCAGATCTGGCATGCTCCCTGTCAGAAAAATTTTACAGAGCTCTAAGGATGAGTTATAATGAATGCCAAGGTATGTGAGCAGACACCAAAGGGTCTGTTAGGACTACTTGCCCTATCCTGTTTATCAGCTTACGAGAGCCATGGCTAAATATTAGGACCTTTAACAGGTAATCAACCTCGACCACATTGAAGTTTCTACCTGCAACAGACTAAAAGAGAATGCATTTATTCCGCAATACTTTTCTTGAAAACCTTGTCAGAAATGGAAACACTACAAGGGGAACTCATTTTCTCACTGGAAATGGGAAATGGAAAAGGAACCTAAGTTTTTCGCTCTGGTAATGGTCAAGGTGTTGAGGCATGAACTTCAACTTTTTTAACAACCCATAATGACTCACCTTCTTCCCAAACCCTGCATTTCCCCTAATTCATTGCTGAGGATGCCACATTTAAAGAATAACCACCCCCCCAAAAAAAAGTATTAAAAAAAACAACAGAACAAGCAAGCAAATGCTCTGGAAAATGAACTGTGGGTATTTATTTGGCATACAGAATGAAGTGGTAAAATTGTGAAAGGGAAAATACGTTTGTGCTTCAGGAAAAATCACCTCCAAACTGCGATAATGACTTCTCACATTTTCTTCTTGCAAAGGCAGGGGTCTTCAGTTTTTAAAAAGTGTTTAATCAGACTCATAATTTAGTACCACAAGGAAAAATGCCTAGTTTTCTTGAGCCAAAAATGTACATTTAACAATCATTCCACTTAGCATCTTTTATGGCATTTACATTGGAGATACAAAGATAAATAAGGCAATACCTACAAAGGAGGTCATAATCTTTATATTATTCATAGTAACTATGTCCCATAGGTAACCTTGTGAAGAGTGAAGAAGGAAAATGGGAGGCCAGATTGAGGAAAGCCATTCCAAGATTTTTGGGCAGAACAGAGAAGGCAGATGTTCTAGTGAAAAAAATATATATATATTGCAGGCAAGAGAAAAACCAAAAGCAAATTTAGGAGAAAATAGGGCATAACCACATAAAATAATATTATATATAATAACATGTTATACTCACTGGATCTGGAGCCACAGGAAGGAGATATCTGACCAGATGGGCAAGTGCACATATTTGGCCTAGAACAAAATCCATCCCCACAGGAATGCCGGCAAATGGCTGTGAATAAAACCAGAGATCTGTTAGTACATGACTTCAGAGCATGGCGCTTTACAGGAACCCAACCCTCAAATGAGGAAATCTGGACTCAGCTTCCTCATGAATTTTGCCATGATGACTTATGTGACCTTAGGTCTCAGGTTTATGCATTTACAGAACAAATGTGTTGGACTAAATAAGCTCTGGATGCAAAATGCAGTAACTCCCTACTCCCATCGGTTCTCAACCTCTCTCTGCTTATTCCACCCAGCACCCAATCTATCAAAAGCCCAGAACACCCTATTTAGAGAAAACAACACAAACAAAAGTCCTGCATTTAAACATATTTAAATGCCTACAAGCATTTTTTTTATATTAACTTTAACATTTAATGGTATAAAAATTGCAGCAGGATTCTTGGGAGCTTATTTTATTATAAGCTACTATTTAATAATTTTTATAAAAATCCTGAGCCCTGCTAAGACTAATTCTCTACATCAGATCCTGCCCACCTGGAACATATAATCTACAGAACAGCTACTATCCTACATTTAAGTCCCATTCTCAATGACATCAACAGTCTGAGAGAAGAAATTTGGAATCCATTACAATAGCACTGATTCTATAGTCAAGAAGCTGTTCATCCTTTAGAGAAATATTAACACTTTCATGTCACTGAGAGACTAATATACTGGTACCAAATGCTCTGCTGGTGGCCAGAATAACAAGTTTAAATGGCAAGTGATTTATATATATTAGCAGGTCACTACGTTTTATATTCAAAGGCATGATCCCTTCCTCAAATGCAAGCAGCAAATGAGATGTGCAAGGCTAAAAATAATACACTTGATAGTGCATTCAAACATCTGAAAAAGCTTAGGATAGGGATTGAAAACTATTAAGAAATAAACTGTCAAAGGATCCTATAAACATCCAATTAAATACCTGAAGACAGCATTTCTCAGAGATTCTATAGAACACCAGGGAGAGGGTTCTGTTGTCAAGTTCATTCAGAAAACTCCAAACACCATTCTATACCTCTCTTAGTGATTAAGTTTTGATCCCTAAATAAAGCACAATGTGCCAAATGAATAAGGTGCTTTTGGTCAAAATCAAGAATTGGGAAAGAGATTAACTTTTTCAGGTCACCGAGAGAACACTGGTTGAAATATTCTGTTCTTCGACACAGACCACTCTAGGCCAAGAGAGAAAGTGGAGTAATTCCTTAACATCCTTTCAGCTCTAAATTTCCCCATTACACTGACAGAGTTTTCTGAAAACTGGAAATCACTTCATAGGTATGACGACAGTAAAAGTTCATAAAGGACAGAAGCCATAACCAATCTGACATAGTATCTCCATTACATAGCACTTTTTCTGGCATGTGGTCTGCCACTCCACATTTGTGGGATATGATGACAATCTGGAGATTTGCTGTGATTGCACAGTCAATGGAGGAATCACTGGTCCCATGTGAGCTCTTCCCTCCTCTTTCCATTCATCTGCATCTGATGCTCTATCCACTTCCTTTCCTCTCTAGAGTTAGGTCTGTCTTTGGCCTCGACCATCCAAATTCAATGTACAATGTTTGAGTAGGCTTGTGGGAGGCCAACAGAGTTAGAGATGACAGTAAGGAAAGCAGCAATGGTATCCTTTTTTCAAAATCCCATCAAAGTGATTACATAGTCTATGAAGCCAGGTCACATGTACCCTTGAGCAAAGTAACCCTGTGGCTCTCTTCCCTATATGCCAGAAATATTCTAAAGGAAGTCACTGAACTAAAGTATAACAGTCGTTTGACCAAATTAGTGTATTTCCCAATCTGGCTTCAGAGGAAGTAGGAAAATCTTAGAGCTGGAAGGCTCTGCTATAAACATACTAATGGTATGCAGTTACAAAGAAACAAGTACTAAGAATCACCATGCAACCAAAACAACAAAAGAAGAACATGAAGAATGACAGATCGTCTATTTACTTACGGACAATACACTGATTTCCACCAGGTAAGGTTTTCCATCCAGGACAACAGTAAGCATTATAACGTGATCCACAGACATTGGGTCTGGAAAAAAAAAAAAAATCCAATCACAAGAATTCCATACTTTATATATATATATGACAAAATAAAAGGAAAGAAAGGTCTCTGAGTTATAAGAATGGGGCAAATTTTTGCAGACTAAAAAAAAGGTAAACCCATGGTACTTAACACTGGCTTAGTAGTTTGGGATTCTTTAACATAATGATACCAATAAGAATATCCCTTAATATTACCTATGCATACATCAGAAAAATTAAAACCAGAGATGCCAAATGCAGTGCATTCTATCACTGCATTTGGCATAGTTATAAATATCTATGGGGCTATATGAGTCTAATTTAAACAATAAAATTCCTACCAATCTAGTTAAGAAAGGTCATCATAAAATCTGCATATAGAGTTTTAAATTTCTACTCATTGAAGCTGTGCGTATTTTTTTTCAATGACCCAACTCACCCCTAAAATGTGACCATATTCTTCCTTTCACTAGAATTATGGGAATCCAAACTCTGACATTAGTCAGAAAAAATAAAAGCCAAAAAATGTAAATATTTCTTTAGCCAAAGTTTGGAAACACAGTAGTTGATACCGGAAGTTACAGGAAAATAAAAACATGTAACTTCGGGTTTCTTGTTTACAGATATTTCATCAGGTTTCTTGGAGCAAAGCCTCCATTCAGAATCCAGATGATCCATACTTAACAATTTAAGGGAGCCACTGGGTAAGGCTCTAGCTAGTTCTGTATCAGAAATTAAGGCAGAGGATTGAACATAGCAACCCCAAAGAAACCATTCATTTCACCATGCCACATCCGAGGGCCTAAACCTTGATGCTACTTCCTCAAGTTTAGGGGCTGATGAATAAGGTCAAATGTTTTGCAATCAGTTTCACAAACAGTGGCTATTCCAAGGCCCGCTGGTATAAATCCTGCAGTCCCATCAGCATAAACCTTTAAAAACAACTTCGTAACTAAAATGTACTTCTAGTTGGGGTGTGCTCACACGTTCTCCTTGTCTGTGTCGACCACGCGTAACAGCACGGAAGCTTCCTGCATCTCCTCTGAACTCACTACTTCAAGCACAAGCAGGACAGGGAACCAAGGTAAGGTCTTTGCCCCATCCTGTGCTCCTCTCATGGCCCCAGAGGACCTGGAGCACTGCAGGGCAAAAAGCACACTTCCGACTGACTGATGTCGAGGTCAGAGAGAGAAGTAGGAAGAAAGTTAAAGGAACTCGGGAAAGGGCCCTACATCCATACCCAACAGCCCCAGGTATCTCCAAAGCTACCCAGAAAATGACTGGATAGAGGCTTACTTTGTGCCTGATGCGAGGGGCTCTCTGAGCCTTAGTTTATGTCTCTACACATCGGGATAATGGAATGTCTGCCTTGGCCCCACATCATGTGTGTCTATCTATCAGATGAAATAATGGACATGAATGCAAAGCAGCTTTACCTTCTGACCTAAATTAGCAACTCAACCAAAGGAACTATAGAAGGTTAAGGAAGAGAACGTTTATCACAAATTCTAAGCCAGGGGTTCTCAATCCTGCGCCCCTCCTGTGACAAAGTAGTGCCCCAAACTTCAGTTCAGAGTACCCAGAACTCCTCAGGGCAAGTCAGAATCTTGGAAAGGGGAGTGAGACGAGAAGTTAGGATAAGGAGCTAAGGTTGGGGGAGCAATCAAACCTTCCAAACTCCATAAAAGTTCTCTAGATTGAAAATGATAATCCAAGCCAGAGTTAACCACCTCAAACCTTCCCCACTAACAGCTCATTACAACTCCACTGGATCCATTCCAACCCCAAACCAAATCCTGGAATAGCTTCAGAGGACCCCTGAACCTTTGCAGGTGTCCTGTGGTCGGAATAACTATGTTTTCAAACAAAAATCAGGACATATTGTCTGACAAGAATGAGTGTATTTATGGAGTAATAACACATATAACATGGTGAAAAAGCTAAGAATAAAGAGTCCAGAATCAGAAATTTCATCCTACAAAACAAGATATTCCAAAGATTTTCTAAGGTGTTTGAAAAATCACAGTAATATAAACATGCCTCATTGTTTTTTCAATGTTTACAATCAACCTACAGACAAAAGATGGAAGAAGTTACGATTTACAATGATTGCAAATCAAAATGTAAATGTTTTAAACCTGCACCTGTAAAAGTAATGGTATAGCTGTCATAAACCAGGAAATGAGTTGGGAAGAAAGGTATGGAGAGAAATAAAGTAGTTGATCCAAGAAACAGAGGTTTAAGTATATTATATAATGTTTTAAAATAGCCAATAACTGAAAGTCATACTATGATTACAAAAAAAAAGTGGGAAGGCAAAGAGAGAGAAAAGGTATAGATATCTCAGTGAGCTCTGGCCCCATCTTTCATGGCAAGGAGCCAATACGGGTACTGTGTAAATCTGGAAATAGAGGAACAAGCACAGTGCATGGTGTCGTGAAGATAAACATGAGAAGAACCAAAACCAGAAATGGTTAAAATTGGTTGGCTCAAGAGATGAGAATCTGGGGAAATGAAGAGAAATCTTTTGCATTCTCACCTAATACTCATTCATAACTGCTCATTTTTTTAAAGCGTGCCGTTATACTTTGATCATCCTCTTTTATTTAAAGCAATAACTTTACTTTAAAAGTATAAACATCTTCTCTCATAAACGGGGTACTTTCTGCTTCATTGTATGAATGGTTTCATTCATTCACTGTTCCGTTTCATTAGTGATCACATTTTCCCTTCACTGCATTACTAAAGTTCTACATAATGTCTAATTGTGATTTATTTTTGTCTGCATGCTCTGCTTTTTTTTGCGTTTAATAACTTTATCCTTTATAGTAAGTAATATATCATTTCATTTCAAGTGTTTCAACCAACCTCCTCAAACAATGACTGTTTTAATGTCATTGCCATTCATCCTTTAACACACTGAATACTATTAGGCTATGTGGCTTATTGCAAGGTAGTAGAAAGATGTAAGATTTCTCCTCTGCAAACTTTGGTCTTGAGAACTGCAAACTAACAGCACTCATTCAAACAAGCTGGGTGGCATTTATTCTACTTACACACAGGAAAAACAGCTCTAATTCTAGAAATAAATGAATGTCTTATTTAAGTTGGAAAGCACGAAGATATGTAAAGTCTAAAGTAGACACGTTGGATTATTTCCATTATAAAAGATTTTATTTTAAGGTTTCAGCACAAAAAGCAGTAACAAAGAAGATAAATCTTTAGTGGTTATTTTTTTGTGTAAATGAAAGTGTAGCATTCATACCTTTCTCTTCCTTTTTACTTCATCAGCCATACCCACCAAACCCACCACCAAAACACGTCAAGAGTTAAAGCTCAGTGGAAGTGGCAGTAGCATTTGGTAAATTAAAAGTAAAACTCAGGGTGCCTGGATGGCTCAGTTGTTAAGCGTCTGCCCTCAGCTCAGCTCAGGTCATGATCCCAGGGTCCTGGGATCGAGCCCCGCGTCGGGCTCCCTGCTCAGTGGGGAGCCTGCTTCTCCCTCTCCCACTCCCCCTGCTTGTGTTCCCTCTCTCGCTGTCTCACTCTCTGTTGAAAAATAAATAAAATCTTAAAAAAAAAAAAGTAAAACTCAAAAAGAACTTTATGCTAAGTGCTAAAGATACATTATTTCATCCTCATAGCAACCCTTTGAGGTAAGTTCTATTATTACTATCTTTAACACTAAGGAAACTATGGCTTAGGAAGGTTAAACAAACCAGCAAGTTCCCACAGCTTCGAAGTAAAGAATGGGGATGTGAACTCAGGAAGCCCGATGCCAGAGTACACTCTCTTAACCCCTATGTTAAGGCAGAGATGCATTTGGGGGCAAGATGGTATTCCACCCAATAGGATTCATGAGGGTATGAGTAACAAAAGCCACAAAATGTCCATCAGTAAACAACCAATTAAGCATAAAGGGTTTTTACCTGTATTCTAACAGTTTGGGGTGGGGGAGGAAAATTTAGAGTCCACTTCACCATTGTATATTATATTGTTTTAATTGCTAAGTCTTTATCTGTAACTTCTCTTACCAATTGCTTTGAATACAATGCTCTACAACAACCCACCTCCAATCTCTCTGGGGAATGGGTGAGCCTCAGCAGGCTGAATATTCAGATCCAGTTCAGACAGTACTCAGAGATTGTGTGGGCTAGCAAACGCCCCTCTCAATGGAGCAAACAGCTGGGCTTTGCCATGTCTGACCACATCAGTGCAGGAATTGGCCTCTGTCCGCAGCGTGTCCACATTCCTTAGCCAGAATCCACTTCTGCAAGTCTGGCCTCTCTTACAGGCAAGATAGCCTTTTTGCTTCCTACCCCAAGTTCAAATTCCCTTTCAGACAAGACTGGGGGAAAAAAAAAAGTTCAGGGGGCTCTTATTTCATACGCATGTGAAGTGATTAAATCCTTGGGCAAGAAGAATACCAAGCATTAGTTAAAAGTTAATGAGGCTGACCCTACTCCATGCAAGAGTTGCCTGCTTTTTTGAACTGTGAGGGGGAAAATGATGACTTAGTCCTCTTAAGTATATGTGTGGAGGGATATCAAAAGGCATACACCCCCACAAAATAAAGGGTGCCTAACTGTCCATGTAACATGCCTCAAGATAATATCCTAATATTCCACTATTCCAGTTTTTAAAAATAATAATTTTCTCTGTCAAAAAATGTGAAAGATCATGAAAAAACTATAATACACAAATGAGCTACATATATTGTGAACCATACATCATGACTTTAATAGTTTTCTGACAGATTTTTTTTATCAAGGTAAAAAGAAAAAAACAAAAGAAAAACTATGAGTACTATCTGATGAGGGGATCCGCTACTACTCCAATAAACTTCGCAAGAGCTCCCCCCTTACTTAGGTGCCTTTATTCTGGCCCTTCTTGCTAAAGACGATGTCACATCCTCTAACAGTGATTTGAATACCACATGTGACTATTCCAGTCCATCTGCCAGTCACAACATCTCAAGTAATGAAACTTCAAACCCTGGTAATGAAAACGGCTTCCATGGCCTCCTCAAGCTTCCATGGGGGCCCTTCAGACCCAGGGACTCCTTTCTGGATTGTCTGGGTCAACACTGGCTGGGACTCAGACAATTCTGGTTTCCCCCTTTGAAGGCATAAGCCAGCCAACCTCTCCAACCTACTTCATGAAGTGTTATCCTTCTGATTTTTTGTAAATCTGAAACTATTCTCCAGTGAAAAGTTTCTTAAAAAGTAAAATAATAATACTGCAACCATGCAATTATAAATAAACTCTTCCAGGTTTTAATAGTGATCAAGACACAGTCTTTGCTGTTGGAAGAAGGCAGGCAAATAGTACAGCAGGTAAAACACAGACATCAAGGTCAGCCTGGAGAGCTAGGAGTCCAGAACAATGGTGCTTTGCCCCATCATCCAGCGTAGGCTCAGCAGAAACCTCTCTGAGCTGTGACTTGACGTTTCCCACTTGCTAAGAGGAATCATTATTCCATCCCACTGCTGAAATTCCTCTTAAATTCTCTAATTCCATTAGCAAACCCCTTGTTCATTATTTTATTTCAAGTTCTTATTTAAATTCTGGTTAACATATATAGTAAAATAGGTTTCAGGTGTCAAGTTCAGTGACTCATCACTTACATATAACACTCAATGCTCATCCACAGCAAGTCCTCTCCTTAGTGCCCATCCCCCACCCACCTCCCTCCAGCAACCCTCAGGCAATCGACTTGTTTCAATCTTGGTGTTTCACTGCTGGCCTGCTATCACATTCTTTTTTCCTGGCTTCCTCCTTCCTCTCTACTTCCTTAGGACAATGTAGCTAAGTATCTTTTCACGTTCACCACCATGTTTAGTTCAGTTCTCCTACATTCCAAACATAGACCTTCACCCTCCCTAAGATGTGAAACATCTCACTATCAGCTTCAGATCTCTGCCAGGTAGGCCTAACCAGCCCACCCTCATCTTCACCTACACCTTCAATTCCACCGTTCTGTCCCGCTCCTTCCCCCCATCATCTCAGTCCTCACTCATGCATTCGCCACTCCTCC